GCGTCCACATTCAGCGTCTTCGTACTTTCTACCTTAAGGCTGCTATCTGCCTAAGAACAGGTAGATCCAAGCTCATCTTAGATTTATATCTATAGATTTATGAATAATGAGCAAGATATCCAATTCACTACAAGGGACACTGTTCATATTATTGTTTTTCTGAATCAAAAGGTGATCTTATAAGCAAGGGAATGGAAAGGGGGGAAAGAGAGAATGTGCCATCTGTCACTTTCACTGGGGCTCGGCAATATAGCAAAACATTTTATCACAATAACTACGCAATTTTGATAATTATCACTACATAATTTATGAATCATTCTCAATAATCATTCAATATTTCTTTACATTGAGGATCCATTCATTCTTAAAATTCCATTAGGATTCTCCTTAAACAGAATGACATATTGAATGCACTGCAAACTGAAATCTAATTTTAATAAATAAATCATACAATAATTATGATATAATAATTAGAATGATTTCCATATAATAATTTTTCATAGTAGGGTGTAATACTAATAACACTGGCTCATTGCTCCTGACAGGGCACACACTTCACATTGCTAGTAGAGTTGCCACCCACCTGGTATTGAAAAATAAAATGCTGTGTCCCGTTTTGAACCGATATGGGACGCAATTGAAAGTTGCAACAATAATTTTTAGTGTCTGTGACTAATCGCTTGTATTGTGTATATTGTCCTGGAGGGCAATGCTTCGAGTGGTGCAATTAATTTGTAGTATTTCCAGTTTTATTCAGCACCAGCCTGTTGCGTGTTGTAGACTCCTTTAAATTCCCAAAGTGCATCCACATCACCACCGTCTCTTTACTTTATCTACAAATCTCCTTTTTAAAAAGATGATGCTGAGCTCTTGCTTTCTTTAAGAGACACTGAAGTTTCCTCTGAGGAAGCGTTTATTCCCCCTAGCGTGACTCGTGTTTAGAAGCAGAGCAGCAGGGGTGCTCAGCTCACTCAGTAAACCTTGCCATGTTTTTTTGTGCATAGTTTGTCCATCTTCAAAGCACTCTGGTTATCAGCAGGCCTGGTCATTTTAATCAGTGCTGACAAATGTCGCCTCTCACATTCATAATTATTATCATTTCATATCGAACTTTCATCAAGCATTGGTGCCATTGATATAGAAGAAAATTTTATTGTGATAATTATCGTTTTATCGTCGAGCCCTAGCTTTCACACCTTTCCATTGCCCACATGGTTACATGCACATTCGAAAAACAAAAACCCATAAAACAGTGGCATTGTGGGATTACCGTGGCAATTTCTTGCAAGGAGAACTTTGCACTGCCTGTAGCTTGATTGTTCCGCTTCAGGTACAAAGGATTCTTGGTCTTGAGAACATCAAAGATCACGCCGAGTCCTACAACTTTGGGATTTTTCTTCAAGGTCATGATCACTGGGTGACGATCGTCGAATTTGCTTTAACAACAAAAAAAATTCAAGAGATTTATTAACTGAAGGGAACTTTAGATTAGGACAATACATATGTGAAAATCAGATTAACTATTTAATAAAGAAGAAAGTAAAAAAATCAAGGTTTTGTTTTTGGACAAAAAATATTTATATCCAGATTTTGGACATTTTCTCATACTTTAAAAAAAAACTGAATAAATAGGTACATTGCATGGTACAATTATATAAATCAAAAGAAAAAGCTAGTTCATTCAAAGGAATTTTCAACTGGCATATTCTGAATGAAATCAAAACTTCCCATGAATCTAGGTTATGGTACATACTGTATGAACACACTATCCTGTGAAGAACCTAAAAATAGGGCCTTCCGGCTGTCACGGACAGGGTCAGGACAGAGGGTGTGCCCCAAGCAGCCCAGTGGCCAAGTCAGAGGTACGCTATGGTCGCACGCCGGTCCGGCACACTCCCGAATGGGTGAGGTCGCAGTGTTACCCAATTAGCCACCATGCCCTCAAAAGCAGCAGCATGTGCAGGAAATATTTGCGGGGCCACTGTTAACACTGACAATCTTCTAAGAAGTACTGAGGAGGAGGAGAAACGGGAGCAAGACAGAAAATCCAGGAGCAACACCCAACGATGTTGTTTCTAACAGGATAAAAAAAAGGAAAAGAGGAAAAGGCATCATGAGCCGACATGCTTCCTGTTTTCACAGTAGAATGACAGCCCACTTCCAAAACCGAAAGAGCAAGGAGTGAAAATATAAAACAGAGGGACCCATCAGAAGAATGTCACATATGACTTACTTTTGAAAATGTTCACTAAAATATTGGGGTTACATTCAAAAATCCCTTTGAGCCTTTTGGTCATAGTGTTTGGGTTTAAATAAAGCTGGAGTATGAGAAAGATCTCGGTGTGTATGTTGATGTCTCCATGTCCCTCTCTCTCCAGTGTGGGGAAGCAATTAAAAAGGCCAATAGGTTGTTGGGTTACATTTCTAGGTATGTGGAGTTTAAGTCAAGGGAGGTGATGTTACACTTATATAATTCCTTGGTAAGACTCCACCTAGAATACTGTGTGCAGGTTTGGTCACCATACCTCAAGAAGGACATTGCTGCCTTAGAAAGGGTTCAACATAGGGCTACAAGAATGATTCCTGCCCTTAGAGGAATGTCTTATGAGGAGAGGTTAGCTGAGCTGAATCTGTTCAGCTTCGCGCAAAGGAGACTAAGGGGGGACATGATCCAGATATATATGGTTCTAACAGGTCTGCATGCTGTTCAACCAAATATTTACTTCAATATTAGGTCAAATACAAGAAGTCATGGTCATAGAACATTTTTAAATGGATTTGAGAAGGCACTTCTTTACACAGCGTGTAGTTGGAGTATGGAATAGTCTTCCTGGTAGTGTAGCGCAAGCTAAAACCCTGGGTTCCTTTAAATTGACAATAGATAAGATTTTAACAACTCTGAGTTATTAGTTAAGTTTCCCCAAATGAGCTTTATGGGCTGAACGGCCCCCTCTCATTTGTAAATTTCTTATGTTCTTAAATTACTTTTAAAATAATACATAATGATACAAAGAAATACTAATATAAACTAACACCGTAGTCCTTAGTAAATAGGATACAAACTGACCTATCTTGCATGGCTCTGTGAAGTTTGGTATAGTCTATCCAAACACTCTCCAGTTTGGAAAAAAGATCACTGGAACGATTCAAAGTGCAGCTGCCTTCGACACCGTCTCGGACAAAATTTGATTTGCTCATAAAACGCAACGCAGCCTCCGCATTGGCCTTCATGTTCACCGTAGCGACGTCGAGTTGAGACGATCCACCTAGGATGAAAACAAAGAACCCAGGGAGAGTCACTGCTATTCATGTCTCATCCTTCCCACTGACATTCCAAGGAAACCTCCTACTAAGAGAACTGTAACTCAAATGATTTCAGTAACATATGAATTAATAAATGTTATAAAACACAAAAGCAGTTGAAAATCTACCAAAAATAAACTATAGGCAAATTCAAATTGTCTTTTGGTGGTGTTTCCATAAGTTATGCTGACAAATCATTTGCTTTTGCTCAATATCATCTCTATGGCATCCAAACTATTCCACGCAGAGGAATAGCAAAGCTTGCGAGGTTTTGTTTTCTATGACAGAGTAACAATGTTTTAGCCAAATTTATTGGTAAACTCCATTCAACACATCATGGGCGATGAGCCCCCTACAGCATTTTACTGTATACCTAGCATGGTATATCATCTAATGAAAAGTTAGATATCACCCAAGCCTAATCTCAAACAAGCACATCATTGCATGCAAGGTCACTCACCAAAATCCACAGTATCACCACGCAAGATTAAATCCGCTACACTCACTGGTGTAGGGTGGTACTCCGGCACATAAAAAAAAAACAGCCTTGAAGTCTTCACAATCTTCACCACCGTCAACACGTCTATTTTTTTGGAGTCATAGGCACTGACCACTGGTTTCAGCTCACCCCTTGGATCCAGTTCTTTCACAATGTTCCGAGCGGCGTCTTTAAACATTGTTACGGCCTGTGAGATTCTAGACTGCAGATGCAAAGAAAAGCAGAAAATATGAGACAAAACAAAAAAAGGAAAATTACAATTGATATTGGTTAGTAATTTTCCCTGAGCCTCACTACATACTATGGAGGGAAATCCCGGACATTTTTCAAAAGGAATTGCAAATTGCATTTGCAATTGCATTTTCCATATGTGGAGGCATAAAGTGTGACATAATTCAAATGCAATTGCAAATTTTGCATTACCGTTTGCTTTTTCGATTTCGCGAACGAACACTGACTGCAACATTTCAAATGAAAAAGCAAAGTCCATTTGCAATTGCATTTCCCATGTCTTACAAGGGAAATCCCGGACATTTTTCAAAAGGAATTGCAAATTGCATTTGCAATTGCGTTTTCCATATGTGGACGCATAAAGTGTGACACAATTCAAATGCAATTGCAAATTTTGCATTACCGTTTGCTTTTGATGTGTAAACTTTTGGTGTGTAAACCTTGTACAGGTAGTTGGCAGCGTATTTGAAACAGCGAAAATAACGGGACTGAATATTGTAAAGCAGAAATAAGAGGACTGAATGTTACT